GGTGGGAAGGGCACCTCTGGAGACTGACCACATTGATTTGGTATAACGTTGAGCTGCGAATGTCCACACAGAAACTCATGCTGTTTGTCCAGTAGTGGTAGCTGCCTGTGCTTTAACATCTGTAGCGTATGGAAGAATAAAAAAAAAAATTCTTAAATTTGTGAGTGATTATGATTTATTTTTTCAAATATACTATGCAATGGGTATAGCAACAGAAGCCAAAATTTTTTAATATTCAAGTTTTCATCAATTGCGCCTTTTAGCAAAATAAATGTGATTTAATTGAAGAATGAACAAGAATAATAATCTGTTGCACTCCTGATTCTCCTATAAAAGTACTCAGTGTGATAGCACTTAATTTGAAATAATATTTTACTTGCCAATGACCTGGTACAAGTGAGGTGAACTACTCAGCATCAGTTCAGTGACGAAATGGAAGCTTAGGGTTTACTTCATAAATGTCTCAAGCATGAATCCAAAAAGCACATTGAAACATTTATCGAGTTTCCTTCTGCTGTCGTAAAGTCTGTAAGGAAGTTTTGGGCGTTACCAGCTGTTGTCAGTTAGCAGCGCCCAGAATGGCATGAGAACAGAGCTGAGGTGCGCGTGTATTGCAGTGTGAAGTCTTCCAGTTGAAAGACTTGTAGCCAGTCACACAGCCTTAACGCCGTGCATGTATTGTTGGGTCAGTTTGTGCTGTCTCTGGGTAGAATTTAGAATGTATTTTGTTGTTCTAAAACAGGAATATCATTCAGTGAGAACTTTATAGTTAACGAGTATCTGGTCTGTCAGAATTTCTGAACTGAGACCCTTGTTTGTTTGCAATCTCTTAATTATAAAAATTAAAGCAGGTAATAGAACTTAAGATATAAACCAGAAGTTTTTCTTAGGAATCGGAAGAACTGATACTGGGTGCAGAATATTCAGTGCAAAGTCTCCAGTAAGGTATGGCTAATGGGGTCATAGAAAAAATGTTTTTTTTTTTCTTCCTGCCTTATCAGATTGGGCAGTTGTGTTTTTAAAATTACTGTGTTGAATGTGCTGGTAATTTGTTTCCAAAACCAGGAACTTGACTGGAACCAAGAGAGTATGATAAACTCTTCATTTTTTTTGAGGGGTTCTCCTGGTTAATTATGGCTTTTGACTTGAGAAGGCTTCCGTTCAACAGTTCTTAATTTCTCTGTATTGTTTAAATCCATGAAAAAGGGTGCAAATTTTAGTAACAATCTGCAAATCTGTGTTGGGTTTTTAACCAGTAAAAATGGTCTCACTGGTCAGCATGAGGTGTTTTACAGTCATCTTTCCGAAGCTGCTGTTACGGCTGCTGTGCAATACTACACAGCTTGCTGTCGATGGGGTGCAGAAGGAAGACCAGGAAGCCGGGATGGGGAAAGGCGCCCCATGTCGGCACTGGTGGCCCAAGCTGATGAGCTGTGTGTGACTCTGCTCGTCTGAGTGCAAAACACTGAGAGATGCTTGCTCATTTGTAGTGGGGGGGAAAAAAAAATATGTTAAAAAGGGAGGATGGTCAGTGCCATCGCCTTCGTTTCAGACTGTGTGTCTGTGATTAATTGGATTTCTGACTCTGACATGCTGAGTGGCGTTTGGGCCAGTGCTTGATGCATTATGCATTGCGCCTGCGGGGGACTCGAAGTGCGGGGTCATGTGCTGTAATGCTGAACTACCGCCAGTATTTCAGGCATGATAAGCATATTTATTTAACATGTGGATGAAAATATTTAAGGTTATTAAAGCTTTATTTGTATTGCACTAATACAAGTTTAGTTAAACCAGTTGCAATTACCATGATTTTCTTGTTTTGGTCCAAATTTATGTACTCGCAAACTTTAGTAACAAAAAAACCACCACGCAGAGTGACAGGAAAGGTGTGTGGGGTCTCAGTCTTCCGTATTCACGGAACGCAGTTCTAGTTCACTATAAAATTAATTTAAAAATATGCTATGTAAAGGTTAGTGTTTTGTTCTAACTTTTTTGTATTATATCCTTTGGTTTTGTCTATCATCTGGTGTTAGTGCTTTTTTAAAATACTTCAAATATGATCTTAAACCCCATTAGTCTTGAAGTTTTGTGCTGATGTGGTGAAAAGACGATGCTCCTTTCTTGCATAGAAGTCCAGGTTTTGTCTTAGTTGTAACAGTGGCCTAATTACCATTTCTGAATGCTGTGGCTTATAAATACTTTGGTTAGATAAAGGTGTTATTTCATTAATGTTTTTATTGTAATTTAAAAAAAAAAGGGTGTCGGGGAACTATTTTGGGTAACAGGATAATTCAAATTATATACACATATACAAATATACAAATACATGTATTTAAACCTTCACATTCAGATACTCCTCACCATATTATTTGATGTGAAATACTACCTTTTCTTGAACATAAGGCTTTTCAGAATGCATTTTCAGTCTTTTATTTTTGGGTCAACAGATAAAGGGGCATTTTGCATCTTTTTTATAACATCTCTTTCAATTTCTAGTGATTATTAAAGCATATTTATATTTGAAGTGTCGAGAATATTTTATGGGGACTCTGCTAGAACTTGTCTTAACTGTGTAAGTGGTATCTGACTTAAATAAAAACTAACCAAGGATGCTCTATAGAAAAATAAGTGTTTTAATGAGAAAACTTGAAAATGCAAATGTTTTCTTAATTATGATGATTAAAAAAAAAAATCAGACTTCAGCATTACAGGTGCAGATTTGACCCTGCATGGTGCAGCCATTTATTACAATCAGGGTCTTGACTATGTTGCTCTTCGTATATCAAAATTCATATCTGTCATCTGTTGTTAATATTTAAAGAATGCCCATCAAAATATAAAGAAAATACCGAGCATTTTAATTGTTGTTATATTATTATGTAAACAACACTGTGAAAAGCCCTTAACTTGCTGATTTTCCTTTCCATTTATTCACCGAAGGTATTACCTGCTGTTAAAAAGAAGTTAAGAATCAGTGATTTTTCTGATAAATTTTCTTGCCATGACAACATAAACTTCATTGAGAATGTTATAATGAATTCAGTGTTGTTTAATAATTTCTTTACTTACTCATAGATGATGAATAATATAAATGCATATAGATACATTCATTTGTATTCCAGTATGTGTCCACAGTTCATAAATGTTGACTGTAAAAGATTTCCTGAGCTTTCTCCGGCCTTTTGACTTTTTTGCCTAGGTATATTTTTGCACTCTTACGGAAGGATCTGATGTCTGCTGACCACCTTGCTTTATGCCTTGCCGTTTGAAGCTATTGGGTTTTTTAATTTCTCAATGAATGTTCATTGGGTCGCAAAATATTGTTAGCCAGTGCTTTTTCTCAGCTCACCGTCAATAGGACACAGTAAAACAACTGGGTTTTTTTTTTTTCTTTTCAAACAAACCTTGTGTGCAAAACAAAGTAAAATGAGGGAAAATAACTGCAATAAATAAACACTCAGTTCAACACAGTATTTTTTTGTTAATGAAAACCATTCTATCCATGCTGCAGATTATATTAACTAATTTTTTTTAGACAAGGATATTGCTTTTGGATTTAAAAAAAAAAAAAAGAAAATTGAGAAGCATTGCAGTTAATGTTACCTGTGCCAAGCTCTATGACTTCCAATATCTGTGAGCTTTCTGTAATACTTAGAACAATATTTGTCAAATAACAATGGAGCATTTTCAGAGGCAGAGTAACAGCTTAAATGTTTTTTAGATTTGTCTCTTGGCAAGTTGAGACACAGGGACAAGCCGAAGATAAAATACTAAAATATACGTTAAATTCATTTCCTGTATGTTAATATGTTTGAAAAAAACTTATAAATAGTGCATCTCATTTTATAAACATTTATGTTAATATTGCTGCCTATCAGAGTTTGAGCTGCTGTAGTCATCTCTGGAAGCATTTTCCAAGAGTTTGACTTCTTGGCAGACACGAAAGGAAAATTATGCACATGTTGTAGTATTTTCACAAAATCATATGTTTATTGGTGAGTACTCTGCAAGCTAAAATGCTTTTGTAATTGGATCAGAAACTAACAGAGCCTCTTCATAAGTTGGACTTACAGAGGTCCTGGTGTGTAAGCAGGCCTTATGTGTTTGCTACAGCCAACCTCGGGTGCAGGATACAGCTGTATTTGAAATTTATCTTGAAAACGTAGTACAATACTTACTTTTGGGTTTCCATTTTCACTCTTAAGCATTTAAACGAGATCCTGAGGCAAACGTTTAAAAAAACACTGAACGCTACAGAGGCTGTTGTGTTACCTTTAAAGATACTTTGCTTATCCCTGACACCGTACCTGTGCTCCGAAGGCAGTCTCTCAGTTTTGTTTCCCAGAGCCCTTCAGCTGAGGTGGTGTGTAACCACAACCTTTTGATCATTGCTTTTCTCGGTGACTTAACTGCTGGAATAGCCCCTTCTTGTCTCCTCCTGGGGTGCCAGGGCAGAGAACCTTCCCGTTTTGGTGTGCTATTTCTGCTCAGATTAATTTGCTTAAAGTTCTCTCTGGTGGAGCTGCCACGTGTAGCTTATTTCTGAAATTGCTTGCTGCCAGCTAAGGATGGGAGTTGTATGTGCATCTGGTCTGGGCCAGCACCTGTTGGACTGCAATGCTAAAAGCAACAACAAAAGCTTATTTTGCCAGAAGTAACTACTGAGGGCGTTTAAATACTTTAACAATCTGGAGTTTACTTTATAAAGTAGGGATCGTGAAAAATGCAAACTCCCAGGTTAATCCTTGCTACATGTTGGAGTGTTCTTTTGGTTGCGGTTTGATGGTTTGGGTTTTTGTTTGGGTTGTGGTTTTGTTTTTTTTTTTTTTATTTCAGTGTCTTTAAGAACAGTTGCTGGAAGCTGTGATGGCCCTGAAATCATCAGAACTGGAAACATTCAACTCCGTTTCCTTTGTGTTGCGATGCTTTGGATTACAAGAGATCGCATTTTTCTCATGTTACGGAACAATCTAACAGTTGTTTTTCATTGTGTCTTGCAGATTTCAGTGGAGCAACGTATAATAATGAGCGGCGACCCTATGGTTTTTGGTTCCCACCTGAGCAGCATTCAGAAGAGGAAATAAGAAGGCAAAGGCTTCGTAGGTTTGAGAGACGATAACATTGGCAGGTGTTGGTGTAAACTGTAAAGTGCTTTTCAGAGTTACCAGAATGTTTGCAGATTTATTTGTAACACGCAGATTCATTTGTAATATTTCTCCAATTTTTTTTTTTTTACTACTAGTTGCAAAACTGCAGAGGATTTGGTGAGTTCAGGGTCAAAATTGGAACTTGCATAAAACGTGTGAGATAGGAATCAAAATGTGATCTTGGGCAGTCTCCGTCTTAATGCACCTTAAATATGGAAGAAGACGGATGGTTTTACCGAACTGTATTTTTTCTTAAGTTCTTTTGTGCAGCTTCAGGAATTCCTTGGCTTTTTGACTGCTGGTATTCTTAGACAACAGGTTTTCTTTAGCTCTCACAGAAGAAAGAAACACTACTTTTTTTTTTAATATGATTGTAAAACTATGCAATTTTTTTTACAAACTTGTCTCTCTGTCGATGATGACCAATTGTTCTGGGAATTGAGAAGATTGCTTTGATGACAACAGCTAGAGGCTAGGCTTGAGCTTTTCAGCAGTCTTGCAAACGGTGTGAAAAATAGCTGCAGCTATCCTTACCCTAAGGCGTTATTTAATGCAACCTTTAGTGTTGCAGCCTTCCTTAAAACATGCCGTTTCATCTAGAGTTTGTGTGTGATAAAAATGAGTTGTAACTACTTAATATTTCCTAAAGCCTTTCTTAATATTTATGTTTTAAATAAAAGGCTTCCCTTTCGAGTTGAAGTAATTTGTTAGGAGTTTTAAGGAAAGGGAGGTGGATATCCCATACAAAGAATATATTTATTTAGTAACTTATACTTTTTCAAGGCATCTATTCCCCTTTCTAAGAAGGCTTGGGAACCGTATCATGTATATGCTGTTCATGCAGCTGTAGAGGTTCTACTGTTTCTCTGTACGTATCTCATCTGGCGTCCAGTAGCAGCAGTAAGAGGTTGCAGACTTGTGGAGATCTTGCCTAAATATTGGCTACCATGAATTCTTCATTTTCTAGGAAGAATTTCCCTACCCAACTCTGGAGTAGTTGGCAGGAGCCAGAGAGCTCAGGTGTGACATTGGGCAGACCCGCTGCTTGCTGGTTGTCACACAGTGCCTGTCGTCTGGGGGCACATCTGCCCGTTCACTAACGTTAACTAACGAACCTGAAGGAGTTTTGTTCCAGTATCACTCAAAAATTACTCATTGCCCAGTTATTTTTTCCTCCATACTAGCAGAAATTCTTCTGAAACTGGGGATGCTCCTCTGTAACTATTTTCAGTCCTGAAGAGGTGGGATTGCTCAAGAAGAGTTTGACTATTGGCCTTTGGTGCAGAGCTGTTGGAGCCTCTTCAGCACTAATGTAGTAGAGGATTAGGATGAGCAATTTAATGGTTTCTTTTCAGGTACCTGTGATCACCAGTCTGTGCTTTATGAAGTCTACTTCTCTATGGAGTTATCATTCAAATGTAAAAACATAGTGCTCTATTTTTCATACAGAAAAAAATCCTGAAACTAAGTTTTTTACTATGCTCTTTAAATAGAGAGTGCACCTTCTGGCCATGACTAAGCTTTTGTTTGCTGAAAAATGCACAAGCTGTTCTTTCTCTCCCCTGCCATTCTTGCTTTCACCGTCCCCCTTGCACCGACTGTTGGTCTGCGTGCCGAGGAGCAGCACGGTGTCGTTACGCCAGGTGTGTGGCTCCAGGTTCTGAGAGCCAAGAGACACGGTGGCAACACGACTTTGGGTGTGCTTGTTCAGGTGGTGCAAGAACACTGTTACAATATGATACTATGCAAAGTGTTCTCTGGCAGGGTCTAAGACACTTAGTCTGTAAGGAGTGCTGATTTTTGTTGTGGTTTTGGTCTTGGTTGTTTTTCTATCTATGCAGTAGCCATAGAATAAAATAACAGATGCTCTTAGCTAATTTTTCTATGCTCACTAAAAATAGGTATCAAAAAAACTGTGTACAGTTTGCATATTGTTCTCAGTGGGTAATAACTACTTGTAAATGAGGGGGAAATAGCATTGCTTCCTCAGACTAATCTTTTAATGCTCTGGTCAAAAGTGTCAGTGTAATTTACTGTGTCTGTTAAGCTCTGTTATTTTAATTATTTAAGACCACTGGAGTAGCCACCTGTCAGTTGCAAAAAAATGCTTAAGTAAAATCACAAACTCCATCACAATTTTAAAAGCACTTTGTTTTGTAAAGTAAGGTTAGAAATACTTGCCATTAAATATTCACAGAAATTGTCTGTACTAATAATTGTTCAGCTCTTTTGACTTGTTTGTATACAAAATTGAATAAATATTTTTTTACATTTAAAACTGTCTTTTTTTATTATAGTCATTAATAAGTTGTCTATTTTGAGTTACAGACCTGCCACCATATTGTTAGAAATGAAGACTTGTGATACTGAGGGGGAAGACTGATTATGTTGGGACTAATTTTGTTTCTTTTGAATTTAGTGAAAGTTTTGGGGTTAGATTATTGGAAAGTTCCGGTAGTTAAAGTATTTTGGAAAGTTTATTAACAGTGTGATTCCTTAGTAGGATTTTTACCATTAAAAACTGCCATCAGTTTAGGTTTCAGAGCCCTGATGATGGTAGCTGCAAGTTGCAGAGGAGTTCCTAGCGTATGCTCTGTTGCACTTCATCTCTTCAGGGACAAGAATTACGGGCAATTGACACAGATGAGAATCCCACGTTCCGTTATTTTCTGACACTGTTTAGTGCCTGACTAACTCTACATAAAGTAAGGATTCTTTAAGAAAAAGCGGTTTTGTATAAAATATTTTAGCATCTGAAGTTTGATTCTTTGTTGCAGGAGCTGTGATTTCTCGTGAGTTTTTTGTACTTCCTCTAAGCTCTGTGATCAGGTACCATGTAAGAAATTCCACCCCCTTAATGAATCGTAATCAGCAGACTTGTTAACAGGCGCATTCTTGGAATTTAATGGTTGAATGACCTAACATGTTACTGCTAACAAATCGGGGTTTCTCACAGTCCAGAATTAAGATGTGGTGAAAGAACAGCGTGTTTAACTTTGAAAATCCTTTTCCCTCTTCTGTCTTGTCTTTAAGCATAGGCAGTTATATATTCTTGTGTATGTATGCTTTTTTCCTGGCAGTACCACTTCTGTGGTGGTAGATATAAAATATGTATAATACATATATATAAAAACATATATAATATGTTAATGTTAATATAACATACATAATATATATAACACACCTAACTGTGTGCTTATGGAAATACATGTTTTTCGTGTACGGGGGCCCGGGACGTGACAGGAATGCGTATATTGCAGTGTGTCTGTCAGAGCGATCCAGATAATCATTGCACTTCTGTTTAGAGATGAGGCTTCTGATTGTATTAAAAATTACATTATTCCTTCCTTTTTCATTGCTACCTGTATGTACAGACCTGAAATCCAGAAGGAGTGGTTAGCTTATAGAAAGGTATTTCTGGAATGGATTAGGTAGGTGAAATGAGTAGGACGGAAGGTGGATGATCAGGGATGATTTAATTTGGAAGGCACTGTAGCGACAGAACACTTCTTTGGGCAGGATGCTTAAATTCCCAGTAGCCGCTTCTCAGGTAGATTTCTCCCATTCCCATCAGAATTGTTTTTCTGCCTCTAATGAAAACACCTCTGTCTTCGTCACGCTAAATTGGGTAAGACTGACCATCTGTCTACAGCAGGAGTGGTATTTGTGATCAGTGCGTGGAAGACAATAAATTCTGAAAAAGACTTTGCTGCTTTGTGTACCGAAAGTTTGATTTACCACGCTGAACACAATGTCAGCCTGGGGCTCGAGTGCTTCGTTCCAGGCCTGTCTGTAAGCCACTCAGGGGTAATATACATGGTGCTTGGTTGCCAGTGTGGTACCTTACTATGTATGTTTGTTTAGAAATATGTTAGAATTTTGTCTCGGTGTTTTGCATTTCTGCTTCACTGAATCTGTGGGAAACATTAAAATATGTGGAGTTTCAAACACCAGGAAGCTCAAGCCTGTCATCCTGTGAGCAGAGGTCAGGCACAATGTGGGATTTGCTGTGAGGCGGCAGCAATGCTGAAGGCTGTCTGTGTTATAGTGAGGAACCATGCTTGTTTAATACAGTCATTCTAGAATGATAAATGTGGAGTTATTTTTTACTTTACACTTATAAAATATCACCTCTGATTGAGCTCCCAGTACGTCTGGAACACCTGGATGAAGTGACGAGAAAAGGGGAGAGCTGTTAAGTATGAACATGGAGTAGTAGCTGTTTGAATGCTGACGGTGCTTCTCCCTCCCCCTGGCTAGTTTTCCAGCTGGTTAAGGCGGGCAGAATTTCAACGGCTGTTTTTGTTGTTTGGTTTGTTTAAAATGCTGAATTAAATTTAAAATTTCTGAAATAGGATCCAGTTATGAAATAGATCCCCATTTTGATGAAGCAATTGCTTCACCTGCTGGAGAGTTTTTCCCGGAGTTGTCAGAAATCTTTTATTTTGGAGTGAAGGCAGGTCAGCTCTGACCTTGCCGGACGGCTCCTCCTCACCGCTGCCTTTGGAGCAATCCTTTTTCTTGCAAACAACTGTTCCCCATCTTCCCCATGGTCTTGAATGTTTCTTTTTCTTTCTTGCCCAGACAGTTCTAACACATGTGAACCATAGAACAGAAGTCCTCATGTTTGCAGCCGCCTTCTATACGTGGCACGATTGAATTCAATTAAGTTATTTCAGGATTGCTTGTAAGAGCTGAAAAGGCCAGGCTTCGGTCTGGGGTGCCAGTGTAACGTGATGTTATTTACAGCCGTCTGTGTGGAACAACAGCGGGTTCATTCCCCAGATGGATGTGGTTTATTTCCTGAATTTGGATCATGGTAAATTAATACTTAAAGAACTGATGAGGGTTGATGTTGTGGTCTGGCATGCTGTGCTAGAGAGCTTGCAGAGTCAGGGCAGACGGGCAATCTTTAGCTGCGTGCCAGGAGCAGAAGGCATGGTGCAGATCAAATTTAGGTTCTCCTCAACAGTGTGCTTCAAAACTTCAGGGGGATCTCTTTCCAAACAAGTAAACAACAACTTGGGTTGATGGATAAAAGGTTTGTTTAATTTGCCTTAAACACAGGCAAAAAAATATATGGGCTTAAGAATTGTATGAGTTTTGACTAGTTTGATGCTTTTGTTTCTCTGGTGCTTATGAGTCAGCCAAATTAGGGGAGAGTTTGGTTAAGAGTTCACCCTGGAAGAACTCCTGGAACAGTTTTGCTTAAATGTGTCGCACATAATTGATTCTGGGAATAAGTCTTCAAGCGTTTTTCTGATCTGAGAAATCCAAAGTCAGGAGGAGGCGGAGGTGCTTGTGCAGAACAGGCATCGCCCTGAAGGGACTGGAGCCCTGGGAGGACCCTGCCAGAGCAGGTACTCCCTCAGAAGGACTGCAGCCCGCAGTGGGCCAGTGTCACAGCACAGGAAAAGAGCGAGGAGGAAGGCGCAGCGGAGAGAAACTGCTTTGTTCTGGAACCCCCCCGCCCCCCCCAAAAGCTTCCCACCACCTCTTCTCTCACTGAAGGGACTGAGTGTAACCTGCAGCAAGAGCATGGGGGCAGAGAGGAGTCTGAAGTGAAGTTGAGCCTGGGAAAGTGGAAGAAAAGGTGTGTTAAGGTTTGTCAACTTGTTTCCCCAAACCTGAATTGCTAATTAAATATTTATGCTAGTTGGCAATAAATTAAGTTAAATTCCTTGAGTTGAGTCTGTTTAGCCTACAACAGTACTAGGTAAGGCATTTCTGCCTGTGTTTCGACCCATGAGTTTTCTTGCTCTTTTTCCTCCTGTTTCCTCCCCTGTCCTGCTTGGGGCAGGGGAAGCAGCAGGGTGGGTGCTCTGCTGCCAGCCAGGGCTGGGCCCCTGCAGCAGCGCAGCAGCTCCCCGGCGCCCGCGATTGCTGACAGGATGGCTGCGATAAGCAGAGGACTTGGAGCTGCAGGTCTGGCCCATGGCAGCCGCTCTTCTTTTGTAGGGAGTTGTACGTTTGGTTCTGCTCACAGGCCCCAGCTGAACATCGCCTCTGGAGTTTAAGCACCTTCTCTGTTACCTCATTCTGATACCTGTTTTTAGCATGTGAATTGTGGACCTCAAATCCAGAAATTCTCCTGTTCACAGATGAATTTAAAGTACACTTTAAAAATACCATTTTTACAATACAGCACCATTGTGATAAAATGGGTGATACCTATTCTCAGTTTTGCTTTAGTATCTCCCTTTTGACATGCTCTGTACACAGCAGAAGATGAAGTTCAGTTCAAAAGACACTTTCAGTATTGGGCCCGTGCATCTTTGTTGTTGTCTTATGAAAAACAGCAAATGGAGCAAAAAATGGCCATGTTTCTTAACAGGGCTCAGGCTATGCAATATTTTTCTTCCTCGAGTTATCTTCCAGAACTCCTGAGGTGGGGGGATGGGAAGGAGAGAAGAATCTGACAGCTGCCCCGAGGATTTGCCATGAGTTAGACCCAGGCCTCTTCCCTGCTTCCTAGCCGTACCCCAATGCCATGGTTTGCTAGGGCGAAGGGCAAGCGAGTCTCCACGCTGTAAATCACGGCTTCTGAACTTAATTCCTGGGCAGTTCACCCCAAATGACTCTTAACTCCCGTGACCTCTGAGTGCGGCCAGCATAATTCTCTGTGGTACTATCAATGTCCTGCCTGCCATTTAGGATGAAATTCACTTCTTTACTGGGCCTACACAAGATCCAAAACTCTCGAACACAGTAGTAAGGGTAATTTGGGATATAAGGACTAGTGCAAGGCCATTGCCTTTAGGAGTGTTTTTACTCATGAACAGTTTCAGCTATTCCTTTTCACACCTAATTTCATAATTAGGTCCCCTATGAGTAATTTCCCAATTATTTTTCTGCTTATAGGCACTGGACAGATGATTGCAGAATTAAAGCATATGCTGCTTTATACTTTGGTCTGTCTTATTTGCTTTGTAATATTAAGCAATTTATCTGCAATTTCATTTTGAATTAGTACAATATTTCTGACAAATGCCTTAGAGTCAGCTAAGCATGAAACAGGAATTTACACACCTATTAAATATCTAACCTATCAGTGGTAGCTTAAAAATACATCTCATATATACCCTGTTCTTGTAGAAAAATCATAAACCATAACTGGCACAGGTGCAAAACTCTGCATCAAATTAACAGAAAAAAGATGACTGGTTTACATGAGGCTTTTAAATTGAAAAGCAAGATGGTAAAATGCCATGAAATGGCTTATTTAGATTATTGGGTCTGTTTGTTTGTTGATTCTCTCAGATGTTTTTAATATTTTCCTGTGTACTTGTTCAAGTTAGGTGAACACAGATCTAATTCCAAAATCCCGTTTTATTCCATTTTGCTTGTCTTCAACTTGTCTTGTTACGACAAAGCTTGCAATAACGTAGTGTACAAGGTTTTCTTTGTGGTTTAGCTAAGTGCAGGTAGTACCAAAAGCCCCACTGTACATGTTCCCAGCAAAGCGACTGCCCTTCTCCAGGGAGTTTCTCATCTCAGGAGAGGCTGCAAATGAGTAACAGAGCGGCTGGTGAGCACTGTCAGGAAAAGCTCATACATGAGACCTTAATGGGGAATTGCCTCAATCCACTGAGGAAGTGGGGACGTCACCTGAGGACATGGGGTATTTGTCTCCTACTGTGAACACAAGCTGAAGCTACTTGCCCATTTGGGCTTTAGCTGTGGCCTTTTTGGAAATACAGTTTGTGCACCTAAAGAATAGGTGACAAAGGGATGGCACATCTCTCTACATGCTGCCGGCTTTGGGCAGGAGGAAGCTCTGAAGCTGCTCAGCACCTTGCTGAGTCAAGATGTTGGTTTCTACTTCAAACGGGAAAGCCAGTCTCGCCAGTGTGGGATGCTGCCTGAAGCAGGAGGAGATTCAATTCTTCCATCAAGGGTAGGGATTAGTCCCTCCTCAGAAAACTGGGGTGCCAGATTGGAAGCATGCAGATGGGATCACTTAAGAGTGAACTGAGGGGTGCCCTGTCCCAGTGGGCTGCTGGGACCAAAAGGGAAATGTTCCTCGAGACAGGTGGGGACCGGGGCATGCCCCAGTGGGGGTCCTGACCCCTTCCCAGGTGACAGAGCAGGAGAGCTGGTTGACCACCATGTAAACAGAGCAGAGAAGTTTGGCTGGCTTTGTCAGAAGGAAGCTGCCCAGTCTGATGTATTTACACTTGAATGGGCTTACCCGCTGACTATTTTCTTTTCCTCTGCCTGAGACTGGAATGTCTGTCTTTCCTGCTCTTTGAGTTTGTGTATCCAACTTTTAAATTGGCTGATCAGTCTGTGGTGGTGGTTTCAGAGGGAGTTTTCTTTGAATTGGGACTATTGGATGTGGATCTCCGTTTCCTTGAAAATCCTTTTGCTGGGGGCACCTCTCGGTGAACACAAACTGAAATTAAAAGTGCTGGAAAAAACCATTTTATTCCATTCTAGTAAAACGTAGCTTATTTAAGTGGTAAAAGGAGCATTTGTGCTCCATTTGCAATCTGTGTTTTCAGTAGTTTCTCCATGATTCAAGTACGCATTTAATAGTTCTGGGTTTATAGCTGAATGAAGGAGGTATTAAGGTGTTTTAACTCTTTCAAAAGGTGATTAGTGCTTTAGCTTATAAACGTTTTAACAATCAATGCTTTAAAAAATAAAAAGCATCTCTAGAGCTATGATTCCATAAGGATCTTAAAGGTGATGGTTCTTTTTTTTCTTGGTGGTGTATTTACAAAAAGAGAAGCAAAAAATGAACAGAATTTATTAGCTTCATGTTTAGACAACTGTCCTAACGCTTCTTGTATTCATCACTCCAATAAGTTCACCCATTTTATCACCATTTCATTTAATATTAGAAACTGCTTTGTTTTTTCAGCTACTTGGATTGGGGCTTAATAATTTAATTTAACTGCTCTTAGAAATTAATTGCTAATATAAATACAGCTTTTTAAGGATTCGTTATCTCAGCTAATTTTATTTTCTTACATAATTTACTGTTAAACGGATTTGCAACTTTTTGTTGCTTATGAAAGCCCAATTAACAGTTCCTTCACAGTCTGGTTCAATACTGCAATGGTAAAAGACTGATCTTTGTTTTTATTATGAGGGGTTTTTTAACTATTACATTATCCTCTTCCCTCAGAAGCAGCACGCGAGAGTTTCTTTAGCTCAGGAAATTCAGCTGTTGTAGGGCTTTAAGATGTTTGTATGTTTGCACATTTGAATCTGTAAGGATACATATTTATAATATGCCATATAAATACACATACTCTTCCTATTGTAAATGCCATTTCTAACAGGAAATCCATTGTCCTTCACAACAGGTATGGTTTCCTTGGTATTCCCGACTTGATTCAACCCTCCGAGCTCACCTCGTTACCTGTATATTATGGCAGTGGACTCCAATGTGAGTTTCATTCAAGGTTTTGAATTAAGCCGTTTACACTAGATTTTACTACCTGTAGATGTGTGTACATGGGTGGATGAGGCTCAACAGATCTTTCATCTTTCAGTCTTACAGATCCATTCAAATGAAAAGAACAGTGCTGCACACTTTCAAATATATTCAAATATTAAATACTGTTTAAACCTTTAGCATGTTGTTCATCCTCATGCACGTCTCACTCTAGCTGTTCATTTTTGGTTTGCTTGTTAGCCGTGCTTCAGGCATACCTGGCATCTACTGATTTTTTTCCTCTGCTCTTGTCCTTCTTTAAGAGTTCCTGACAGGGGGGCTGATGCAAACTGCAATTCAGGTGTCACGGTTGTTAGCCAGAAACTGTATTCATTAGCAAAGAACTGGCATGTTCCCCGCTGACCCTGGCATTCAATGAATGGTGCTGATCTGAAGTCTTCTAGGCAACTTCCAGGTGACATCAGGGACTGTCCACCACCCTGATCACCAGATCCAGTGTGCTGGAAAGAACAATGAAAGAACTTGATAACTGTGCATAAGAAAAAAGGTAAATTATCTTAATCTGTCTTTTTCTGACTTTATTTGCTTTTAATTGTACTAGTTTAAGTTGGAGTAAGCTTCCTTTGCTGGAGAAAATCTTAATTTGCTCTGTAATGAGGTAATCTCAAAAGTCTAGAGCCAGCTCACTTTTTTGGTATTTATCAGACCAAAGAAAAGAGTAATCTGGGTTGATTCTAATTGATGGTGTTATCTAAACTGCTGCAAACCTAACTAGAGGATGGCATTAAAAAGCCCCAGACCTCTAATTCTGGAAAGTGTCTTTGTATGTGAAAATCCCATTGTTTACTAAAGATAAGCAAGCAATATCTTTGTAATTTTAAGAAATGCATAGCTTAAGGCTATGGCTTCAGTATATATAGCTACAGCCAGGTTCTGCAATTTGGAACTAACACTCATCTTGTTCCTTTTTGTGAGTTTCCCTTTTTAATGTTCGCTAGACATTGGATAGCTTACTTTGCAGAGCTAAAAATCTTTAAACCTTTAGAACGCAAAAGCTGTATGAAAGAAAGAAACTTACACCTGTGCTCACGTGCCCAGACCCTTACCATCAAAAAAGAGTATCCAATCCAGAGACTCCTCCAGTTCACTGGGCAGGGAGGAATTGACTGATCCTGGCTGTGAACTGCTACCGCTTGGGCAGGGGCCTCACATACAGCACATCTGCTTATGTATGGTTGTATTTCTTCTTCAGAGAGTGGCATCATTGGCAAAGGAGCAGCACTTGACAGCCAGTAAGACTTGTCATTTCGACTGGCATAGTAACAAACTTGGTTGATATTACAGTAAGCAAAGGGCATAGTATTGAACACAGGAAGACAAGATCCTGCCAGACCTGAAAATAATAACAAATGACAAAAATTACTCCACTTCTTTCTAAGTTGAAGACAGTATTCTGGCCAATGTTGCTGCAAAACTATGTATCTTAACAGGAGTCACATAATTCACAGATCTTAAACCTCCCAGGCTCTTCACCAAAATGGCCCGTTATATTGAAAACAGAAACTGTTCTTCCACCATTATCTTCCTTTGACCAGTAATATTTAATTGTGTCACAATCCAGTATTTAAACATTATGTAGTTTGTCACAGTGGGAAACAGTTAGGATAACAACTTCTTGGTTGTGCCAATGCTGAAAAATTAGGCAAGAGGTGGCGGCTGGTTTGAAAGGAGATTAGCTATTGACAAACTCATTAGGAGCAGTGAGAAACCAAATGCCAATGCTGATAAATAGAAAATTTTTGTAAAGTATGACAAGCCATTGCTAGCAGTACATTAAGCTGAAATCTCAGCAGCTGTTCTACTGCCTTCCAGAAAGGTTTCACAGACTGTGAGTGAAATAAAAGGATTGAGGGATTTTGCAGAGCCAATCCTGCAAAACTCTCATCAGGCAGACATCACTGGGAATTAAGAAGTGACTAGTGCATACTTCAGCATGCTTCAGAGGTGAAGTTCTCCTTCCAGAACTGAATTTAGAACAGTTTCATGATGACCTGTTTAGTTAATGATAATAATCACTGCATGTATGTTCTGCCTTGAACTCTGTGTGTGATGTATTATTTCTGTAATACCCTAATGCCTTCTTTAAAGTCACATGACATTTCTATGCAGAAGCCAGTTTTGTTTATCACTGATGATATTCCATTCCAATACTAGTAAAGCAGCTGGAGTAGCCTGAGAGAAGAAAATGCCTGCAAAAAGAACACGCTGGTCACAGGAAACAAGGACTTTAGTTTCTTTGAATCTTCTTTTCACTGCTGTTATCAGGCATTCTGTTACCAGGCTCTCCTGGGGAATGCCAAACACACAACAGTGAAAACATTTTAAAACAACACTGCTTTACTAAAAATACCTTTTTATTGCTCTTTTGAACACTTTTTTTTTTGTCCAGTTTATTAGGTCCTTGATCTTTCCTCCTAGGAGACTTCTCTGCTGCTTGTATAACAAGTCAACAATAATTTAGGAAACTTCTGTGTAAATTGCCACCAATCAGTTTCTCAGGCTGCAAGTCAGGTGGCTTATTTAGACAGCTAATTTTAGTCAGAATTGTAGAAGAAATGACCCAAGACACCAAAAGGAGCTGTCTTTGGGAGAAATTTGGCTCTGTCTTTTCCAAATAAATATGAGCTTCTGACTCTTAAAAGCACACAATTCTGCTGTACACATGATGCATGATTGTATTTGTAAAGCTTTTTTTGTATTATCCAACTGTAACCACCTAACTTAACCAGCTCTTTTCCCCAAGCTGTCTCTACAGTAAAAAGTAGCAGATCCTCCAGGGAGTTATCTCACAGCGGCCAAATGAGATTCCTGACCTAGGGAAATCTCTCCGGTGAGTTCAAAGACAGCCCAAAATTACTATCCAGGATGACGAGTGAAATAAACCACTCATCTCTCCAACTTCTATTCAAAATTACTTAGTGGTAGAAATACTTTTGCCACTAAATGCATAGCAGCAGAAAGCTATTTTAAGTGGGTCACATAATAGGGCAGTATAACCAAGTTCATTATTATCAGTGTAAATTAGCTTTGAGTCTGTAGAAAGTAAGTAATTGATGATTCTATAGTGTGCTCCCTTTGACTTGTCTTTCATTGTGTAGATCACGCCACATTAGACCTTAACTGGAGAGCAATTATGTACTACAATACATACCAAGATCTTGATTATGAGCTTTCTCTTGTCCTTCCAGGTACAGCAGACTATAGCCAGTCCATAATTTTGGCATCCCCTGTGGACAGAGTGGTTCTCTGTCCGACTGACTGTGAAGGACGAGCAAGAATCCGCTTGCAGATCTAATATGTGGGCCTGGTGGTCCTGGGATACCAGTCTGGCCAGGTGGACCTTATAGATAGGAGAAAAGGTAAAAGAAATGTACTTGTATGAACACATAGCTAGTGTGAACTTTTTTCTTTTACTATATTTAAGTGTTCAGTAAGAGGTTCCTGACTGAATATAATACAACTTTCCAGGTAGTCATGGGCAATAGACACCAGTAGACTCATGTTATCCTTCTTATGGGAAAGAAATTAACTAGATTGCCACGGAATGCTTGACAGTTGGCTTTTCTATTGTGCCTCTGCCCAGTGCTGTATGGACTAAGAAATGAATGGAGGTGAGCAATGATTTCCCAGACTTACTCACTAAGAAGACTTCTCTGAACTGAATTTGAATCCCTGCAGTAACAGTCAATGCCCTTTCCTCACCTATGTATTAAATCATTAATTTATTAAGCAGCAGTCACAGTTAAAATACAATTTTAATTACTCACAGACAGTTGCACCATTAGCCCTGACTCAGAAATGCATACCTATTGATGTTTTAGCATGTGTGGTTAATTGCTTTTCTGAGTAATAATGGATGCTGAGATAAATTTTCTTCCGATAGTGGTTTTTTGGTGGTTTTTTTTTTTTTTAAATGTGTTATGAAATCATTTACAAATTTCAGTATCAGTGCTTGAACTGACAGGGGGGAAAAAGTGTCACAGTATCTCAGGTTAGAGGTGGATGTATCCATGTGTGAATTGGGGGAGTAGAGAGAAAACTTAGTCTGCGTATCATGTCACACATCTCTCCCCCAAAAGCCATGTTCCACTCTTACCTTGTGGCCCAGCGTATCCCTGTTCTCCTGTATTCCCTTGGTCACCTGGTGGTCCAGGTGCCCCAGGTAAGCCATCTTGACCTGGCAGGCCACATGACCCTTCTTCACCTTTTCTTCCTAGATAAATACAGAGTAGTGCTTTCCCTTCATATGGCTGCATTTAAAGGTTATACGTTGTCCAAACACATGCAGCATGCAAAGGGCCAGTCAGCAGAACAGACACCACCAAGAAATGACGCTTCAGGACAGAGACGTGCAGAACTGCTCTCTGCTGGGAATTCTCTTTACAACTAATTCACCTTGTGACCACAGTAGTAGCTCAGAGGCACGACTTTAATAACAGCAACTGCCAATAAGGTTTTATGTCCTCTCTACAGAACTTGTGTGATGTACAGTTGAAACCAAATCACTAACAAACATTATCATGACAAGCCTCTTGCAGAATTGCCATCGGTATCTGTACCATGTAATGAGTAAACTCATCCTATGGGAGGCCTTCATCTTTTAGGACCCAATTCAGCAACGTCTTTAAACACGTACTGAACTTCCTGTGAATACATGTATTGGAGTACTTACAGAACAGGGAGGGACTGCAGGATTGGACTGCATCCAGTGGGGAAGGGTAAAGACACTTTAGGCTCTGGATAACTTCATGTTTTCATATTTCTCATATGTACATGCATTTTTATACACTAGCAGATAATGAGGTGTGGCCACAACAGTAAAAGGTACATCTCATATGCAGGGCACAGATAGTGATGGTCCTGTTCACTGGCTACTTTAAACACAATCTGAATTGAACAAAGTTATGCTTGTCAGGTATTATTGCACGCAGCAGTCTTTGTCCTCTTCTGGTAAAAAACAGTTTTCAGAGGAGTATGTTTCTCTAGCACCACAGTTGTTTCTCATTAATGGTGTGTGTTTCATTCCTTGCAAATCTGCAGGCTGAGTAATTCAGGGTCATCTCACTGTATTCAAATTTTCCCCACATTACTTTTTACTAGATTCATTAAGAAAATGTAAGCCAGTCAAAACAATGTAACAGCTTTCCAATGTTGGTTACATAGTTATTTTGCCAATGCTCAAGTACACTGAAGTTTTAGTAATACACATTGCTTTTGCCGGTAAAACTTCCAGTTTGCCTTCCAAAAAAAATTGGAATTCTGGTATCTTAAGGAAAGGAAAATCATTACTAAGTGTTTCTTTCATAAAACCAGTGCAAGTGTGTATCATTGTATCATCTGTTTTTTCAGAAACTGTTTTAATGACGTATACGATGGAAACACAGCAATTCAACCCCAGAAACACCTTTTAGTTGGCAAATCAATTAAGATATGTAAAACAAGATAGTTCACTGAAAATTGCCTTGTGTTCACTTTCATTAGGGGAACGACTACTGCAGGGCATCTCCTGGGAGAAAATAATGAATTTTTTTCTCTGGAGATATTGGATGTCCAGTGCAGCCACCACAACAAACTTCAGTTTCCCAAGTAGGAAATACCTGAAACCACAGTAGGGATTCCACTGTCTAAACTGAAGATGCCACTTTAGACACAGCCTAAACTGAAAACACTACATAGACATGCTATGCTCTATTTCTGTGAAGATGGCCACTCTGTTTAAATTGTAAGTACCAGCATCACCCTTTGTTTTCTTTTTATCTATCAAAAGAATGTTTCAGTCTTTCATCACTTCTTTTTAAGATCTCTTTAGCCAGATTTCTTTTGTAGTAACTTTTTTATGTTTTAACAGGAAAAAAAAAGGTGCTATCATAGCCACCTCTCTGACTTCAGTGTCCTTTTAGGACTTTTGTTAGCAGAGCTTTGTGATTAATTATTGCTAAATTAAAAGCATGTATATTTTTAACATCCTCCAAATATAACGTGTTTAAACCATAGGAGTGGTTTGAGGCATTGCTTTTTTCAGTTGTTGGTAAAGAGGAAATGCACCATTTGAAGAACTCTCTCAACAGTGCCTGATGCTTTTGCCCTCCCTGGCCCAGGAAAAGGGGATGCAGTGCAGGTGGGCTCAAGCAGCCTGGCTCAGCTATATTGATCCATCATCCTCAGCATTAGCCAGCCCACTACATGTTTCTGGAGACTGTTACTAAGTGTTAAAGGGGAAGAGACAGGGTAAAGCATAGAGAACTAATGCTGATACTCTTACCCTTTTCAATTTGTTGTCTAAATGGCTAAAATAGACATCCAAACTTTCAAAACACAAGCTTACCTTGGGGTCCAGGGTGGCCTATCAGTCCTGGTAATCCTACAGAGCCGTCATCTCCTCTTTGCCCTGCTTCCCCTGGAGGCCCTGGGATTGCAGGGCATGAATCATCTGTTTTTCCTGGTTCACCAGGGTTACCTGGAATGTGTAATAGGAGAGTAAATTAGCCAGAAGATTGGTTAATAGCTCCCATGTGAAAAAATCAACGTAACTCTTAGCTGGTTTTGGTATTCAAGTTTATACTTTAAGTATTTTAAAATCTTGAATTGTTGAGTCTCACTGCTTTTAGTTTTGCTCTTAGTCTTTTAGCACAGCATTTAACAGCATAGCAAGTGTATGCTAGCTGATACATTTCAAGTATTTGGTGTGCAGTTTCTGTCTTATGTGCCCCGAACTGATTTGAGTTAAAGCCTAAAGTCTACCCAACTTTGGGGCAAACACTCAGCACGTGTGAAGATCTACAGTACTCTGCCTATCCCCTGGCTGCAAAACCATCGATAAGCAGGCCAAAGAAGCTAACCCACAATATCTATTTAAAATAATCATAATATTAAAAAAGAAAGAATGGCCACAATTTATGTATTGGAAGCTACCGGGAGTTATCGGCTATTTGCATTTTGGAACAAAATCAGAATTGGATCAATTTAGTCAGATTAAGAGTTCAGTGTTTGTAGTAATCCGGTGTTAGGATTCAAGCTTTTGCTAAATTTTTGGTTAGAAACATCTTGTGTGACAACCAAAAAACAAAATGATAATTTGTAACAAGTGTGGCTTACAAGTCTAATTGACATCATAGCATGAGACTTCTCAAGGTAGCATTATCATGATACTGGTCTGCTTGGAAGTGCTAGCTATTCATGTGAAAAATCTGTTAGAACTATGTTGTTGTAGCAGTATCTACTATTCCTGGCAGCCAAGCCAAGAATTCCTTCTAAGTAAGAGTGGAATGTATCTATACAGAAGGAAGCCCACATGAAAAGAACAATAATCAATAGTCATGAACTTACCTATGAAACCTGAAGGATTTGAAAAATGGAAAGCAGATTGTGGCCATTGTGGTGCAGATGGAAACAAGTTTCAGGCATGTAAATTAGAGTAAAGAATGGGATGAGAACTGAAGCACTTACATGAGGTGACATTAGAAAAAAATACATAGTTCAGAAATTTTTACACAATTCAAATAAGAAATCAATTAAATTGGTTTTTTTTCTGAGATTGTTTAAATTGTCTATATGCAGTAAATGTTAGTAAGATTATATATGAATAGAATGATCACAGTTACAGTTGAGTAACAATGAGCCACGGGGTCATAAGTACCTGTGGGACCTTGGGGACCAGGTTTTCCTTGAAAACCTTGGTCTCCTGGTTGTCCTATAGCACCAGGTGGACCCTGTGGGCCATGGATTCCCATAGGACCTGGAAAGAAAACAAACTGTGCAGTTACATTTTGTTGCATTCCAAGAAGGTGGACACATGAATAAGATGAAGTCTGGCTGCTTAAGTAACAAAAAAATGCTTTGGACAGCTCAACTTTGTTGTCTCCCAGAAAGAAATACACATTTTCCTCTTCTCTCCCAGGTTTTGAACTGAATTAAAATTTATGACTTTTCTTTTCATAGAGATTGGAAAGGATTGGTGTAGACAGGACTTCTCTACAGAGTGTGGAAGAAGCAGGGTATCTAGATCGCTCTTTTCAAACTGAAGAATCTGTTGAAAGCCCCAAGCTATTGATTTGGCGCAGATGTGAGACCCTGTGTTAGTTCAAACACATCTGCATCTTCCATAGTTTCTCAAGACCCCTGCAGAAAGGTCAAGGTTTGCTTTATCTGGCAGCCTCAAAAGTTTTACTGACTCATCCTCAGGTTGGTAGGAGTCTTCCAACAAATTGTTGGAAGCAGTACATGTGAATCTGGCTCTACTCTGACCTTCTAACCCAGCCCTATTTTATCT